CCTTTCAAAATGCTGAAAAAGAGCTGTGAACTTTTTTGGCTCCTTTCTGACATCTCACCAGATGTTTCTCGTTTTGTTTTTCGCGTTCTTTGAAATCATTTTCGCTGTGCTTGGAGATTTCCCTCGCCCTCAGATGAGAAAGGAGCTTTCCAGGGCACTTGCCTTCAGCTTTCAGAGGATCCCTGTTTGATGCTAAAGCCACATTTCTCAGAATCCTGGCATCTTGCTCAGATCAAAGCTGGTGCTTGGAAGGGTTTGCTTAGTTATGTGTTTATTATTTAAATATCTGCTCAAACTTCCGAGCTCTTTGTTTGGAGATGGAGGTGGATTGGGAAAAGCAGAGGCACTGTGAGGGCACCACAGACCCTGACTGAGGGGTAGCAGAGCACACAGAGGAATCAAAGAAAGAGGGAATATTGTGGATACTCTGGTGGCTCAGGAGTTCAATTCCCAAACCAATATTTGGGTGAATTTTTCAATCCACTGAACAAAGAAGATTAAAGTTTCCTTCCAAAGTTCTTTTCAGGCTCTCAGGCCATGGGAAGGGGGTGTAACTCTCAGGAGGTTGCCCAGCAAGGCTGTTCCAGTGCTGTTCAGTGACTCTGCATCCCAGGGATTCCCAGAGTTGGAGGTGGTGGGTGCCAGGAGGTTTTCAGTTTGTGCGTGTTTGTGATTGGAATCACAGAGTCATGGAGTGGGTTGGGTTGGAAGGGATCATAAAGCTCATCCAGTTCCACCAGGGACACCTTCCACTATCCCAGGTTGTTCCAAGTCCTGTCCAGCCTGGCCTTGGACACTCCCAGGGATGGGGCATCCATGGAATAACCTGTGCCAGGGCCTCACCACGCTCACAGGGAATGATTTCTTCCTTAATATCCAACCTAAATTCCCCCTCTCTCAGTTTGTGCCCATTCCCCTTGTGCTGTCACCCCAGTTCCTGAGGAACAATCCTTGTCCAGCTTCCCTGAAGCCCCTTCAGACCCTGGAGGGTGCTGTGAATCTCCACACAACCTTCTCCAGGCTGAACATTCCCAACTTTCCCAGTCTCCATCCATAGGGGAGGGGCTCCAGTTCCCTTATGGACTTCGTGGCCTCCTCTGGATTTGCTCCAGCAGTTCCATGTCCTTCTTGTGTTGGGGGCACCAGAATTGATGCAGAACTTCCTCCTCTGAGCTCAGAGCCTTCCACTGCTGAGTGAGTCCCCTGCCCTGCAGAGATGTGTTGGGTGCTGTGTGTACAGACTGTCCTTCCAAAGTGAAACATTCATTTCTTGGGATGTTCCCAGCAGGCTTTGGGAAGGTGATGGGCGCTGCAATTTGTACAGAATAAATAAATTTCAGATTTGTTTGGGTCAGAACTGGAAACAACTGTGGGTTTGAGCTGCTCCATGTGTATCCCTGTGCAAATTTGACTTGTTTTATTTTCCTTTGCTCGTTTTTCTGGCTGTCAGTGGTCTGCTGGGAGGAGGAGCTGTTGCTGCAGGGGCTGGGGGTGTCCTGGGACACGGCCCTGCTCAGCTGCTGCTCAGCACCATGTGAGCTCTTCAAGTGCTCTCACACTATAAATAACCCAGTGCATTGTTGTCAGTGGGTTTTTATTAACAAACAGCAACAGTATTTTTGGAGAATGTTTATAATTGGGGAGGGCAGAATAAATGAGTTGTATTTCAGGGCTGGCAGCGAGTTTGGGTTTCGTTAACGCCAGAAAAGCTTCAACGTGTCTACTGGTTTAAGATTTTGCTTTAATTTATTAATATTGCCAATATTTGCATAATCCATTTATTAAAATGTTTACAATATTTTATTATTGGATCTATTATTACTAATTTTATTTAAAGGTTCATGAAGCTGTGCTTATACAGTTACCCTGTTACTAGAGCAGGTATTAATCATCTCAACATCAAAAGATACTGTGTTACTCAGAGAGATACTCTGTGCTCTGTTCCTAAAGACTCTTTTGTTGTTTTATTGACTCCTAGGACCCTTCAAAGTCCTACAAGAAAGCTGGAGAAGTGGCACCAGTTGAGTTACACGCAGAAGAAGGTGTCCAAGTAGAAACAACCCCTTTGTCCAAGAAAGTTTCCCCGTTGCACTCGGAAATGACGGATTACATGAAGTCATCTCCTCCCACCCTGATCAGCAGCCATAATTCCGATTTAAAGGATAGAACAGAGATCAACGGAGCAACAACTGTCACAGAGAAACTGGCTCAACTCATTGCAACTTGTCCTCCCTCCAAGTCTTCCAAAACAAAGCAGAAGAAGCCCGGGAACGGAAGCGCGTCCGGTTTGGTGAAAGACTCTGGGAAGAAGCTGCCAGGACCCATCAATCCGAGTGGGATGGTTAATAAAGATTTGGTGAAGAAGCTGCCGGGCTCTGGGATTGCCGTGGGGCTGGTGAACAAGGACTCAGGGAAGAAGCCATTGGGGATTGGCAGCACAGCCATACTGGTGAACAAAGACTCTGGGAAGAAGCCCCAAGGGATCGGCCCCTTGATTGGATTGGTGAGCAAGGACTCTGGGAAGAGGCCCCCAGGGATCAGCACTCCCCCCGGGATGGTCCACAAGGACTCTGGGAAGAAGCAGCCAGTGACCAGCTCTGCAGTTGGGTTGATCAGCAAAGATGTGGGGAGGAAACTTCCAGGGCTCAGCACTCCAGCTGGATTGACTGCCAAGGAGCCTCTCAAGAAACCAGTAGGGATCAGCACTCCAGCAGGATTGGTGAACAAGGATGCTGGGAAGAAGCTGTTGGGGGTAAATAGTCCTGCAGGTCTGCTCAGCAAGGATTCTGGGAGAAAGATGCCGGGGACCGGGAATACGACGGTTCTGAGTAACAAAGACTCTGGAAGGAAGACGCCGGGGATTGGGAGCCCGGTGGGACCAGTCAACAAGGACTCTGGGAGGAAGATGCCAGGAATTAGCAGTCCAGTGGGATTGGTTAGCAAGGAGTGTGGGAAGAAGCCGGCAGGGATTGGCAGCCCGGCTGGTTTGGCCAACAAGGACTCTGGGACGCTGAAGGCGGATTCCCTCACACCCACCTCGGAGCCCTTTAAGCTTCCTTGCAATTCCAACCTCAGCAGCCTGGAAAGCCACGAGCCTGGGGATTTACTGAAGGAAAATCCTGCCAGCAAACCCTTCGAGAAGCACGTTGTGAGGCAGAACAAGGAGAGCATCCTGGAGAAGTTTTCCATTCGGAAGGAGATCGCCGAGGTGGGCAAGGAGATGTTCAACGAGGGGATGTGTGTTCCCCAGGATTCCTACTCCTCCAGCGAGAAGGGGGTTTATGAAGCATCCAAGCACGAGAAGCAGCCCCCGGTGTATTGCACTTCACCAGACTTCAGGACAGGAGGTGCCTCGGAGGTGTCGACAGCCAAGTCCCCGTTCAGTGCAGTGGGAGAGGGGAATCTCCCCTCCCCTTCCCCCACCGTGTCTGTCCCCACCCTGAGCAGGAGCCTCTCAGCATCCTCCTCCCAGCTGCCATCCAACTCATTGCACTTAAGCTCCACGGCAGAGCTCCTGGAAGGCATCTCTGACCCCGTGGGCAAGACTCCCTTTTCCTCTGACAGCATCCTGGGGCTGAGCAGGACCCTGAACCACCCCCTGGGCGCCGATTTTAAAGGTGCTGACAAAGATTTGAGCGATTCGAAGGCTTCTTACGTGGAGACTTCCAGAACCAGCCCTTCCACGGGGAAAAAGCCCATTTTGGCAGCTGAAACGAGCATCCACGCCACTGTCACCCCTTCAGTGGTCAGTTTTACCAGCTTGTTCAGCAGCAAGCAGTTCCTGAAGATCGGGGCAATCGCTGCATCCGATAAATCCTGCCAAGGAGCCAAGAACCTGAGCAGCACTCAGCAGTCGAAGCCTCTGAAGAAAAGAAAAGGAAGGAAGCCCCGATGGACTAAAGTGGTGTCGAGGAACACGTGTCGACCTCCGAAGGGTCTGGAGCTGGAAAGGTCAGAGCTTTTTAAAAACATTTCCTACAGTGCACTATCCAGCAGCAATTTGGAGCAGGCCAAGTTCCTGAAAAACATCGGCTCGTCCTCCTTTGTGGAGCACGAGTTCGTCAAGCACCAGTTGCCGAAGCTGAACGAAGCCAATGGCCAGTCCCTGGCTCTGCTGGCTGAGACTGACAAACCAACCCAGAAGTTCTACAGCGCCCACAAACAACCCTCCAGCTTGTGCATGGCGGATGATTTCTTGCCTGACATGTACAAACCCAAAAGAGGAAGATCTAAACCCAAGGAGATGCCAGAGCTCGAAGGTCCCCCCAAAAGGACTCTGAAGATTCCGGCGTCAAAAGTCTTCTCAGTGCAGTCAAAAGAAGAGCAAGAGCCTCCCATTTTGCAACCTGAGGTTGAAATTCCCTCCCTGAAGCAGAGCTTATCGGGACAACCTTTTCCTAAAAAGAGAGGGAGACCTAAAAGACAGATCAGGTCATCAATTAAAACGAAACCACCTATTCTGTCCGTGGCACCTTTTGTTGGAACAGAGAACTCGAGCAAGATGGGGCCTGAAAGTGAGCAGCATCGACCTGGGGAGTTCTTTGAGAGGAAGGACCAGCTCCCAGGGCCTGAAGAGGTCCAAAGCCCCAGTATTTGCAGCATGAGCGATTTGGAAGTAGACTCAGACAGAAAAGTTGCCAAGAGAAATAACGGACAGTTAATGAAAACAATTATTCGAAAAATAAATAAAATGAAAACTCTGAAGCGGAAGAAACTCCTGAATCAGATCCTGTCCAGTACAGTGGAACCAAATACCAAAGGGAAGATGCAATCCAAGCTCCACAACACGGTGTCGACTCTCGCCGCCACGTTCGGTTCGAAGCTGGGCCAGCAGATCAACGTCAGCAAGAAAGGAACGATTTACATAGGAAAGAGGAGAGGGAGGAAGCCCAAAGCCGTCCTGAACGGCCTCTTAGCCAGCAGCGCCGCCAGCCTGACCGTGCTGGAGAAGTCTGCCCAGCAAGCTCCCGGTACGTCCCTGGGCCAGGTCCTGCCCCACCTGCTGCCTCCGGCGGGGAACCCCTCGGAGGTGCTCCCGTCTCCGGTTTGCTCCCAGTCGTCGGCCGTGAGCGGGGGGCAGAGCCCGGTGAGCAGCGACGCGGGGTTCATCGAGCCCAGCCCCGTGCCCTACCTGCACCTGCACTCGCGCCAGGGCGGCGTGGTGCAGACCCTGGCCATGAAGAAGGCGGCCAAGGGCAGGAGGAGGCTGTCGCCGCCCACGCTGCTGCCCAACTCGCCCTCCCACCTGAGCGAGCTGACCTCGCTCAAAGAGGCCACCCCGTCCCCCGTGAGCGAGTCCCACAGCGACGAGACCATCCCCAGCGACAGCGGCATCGGCACGGACAACAACAGCACCTCGGACCGGGCGGAGAAGTTCTGCGGGCAGAAGAAGAAGAGGCACTCCTTCGACCACGTGTCCCTGCTCCCGCCCGAGACCTCCACCGTGCTCAGCAACCTGAAGGAGAAGCACAAGCACAAGTGCAAGCGCCGCAGCCACGATTACCTCAGCTACGACAAGATGAAGAGGCAGAAGAGGAAAAGGAAAAAGAAGTACCCTCAGCTCCGGGGGAGGCAGGACCCCGATTTCCTCGCCGAGCTGGAGGAGTTAATAAGCCGGTTGAGTGAAATTCGAATAACCCACCGGAGTCACCATTTTATACCCCGGGATTTGCTGCCCACCATTTTTAGAATAAACTTCAACAGTTTCTACACCCACCCTACTTTTCCTTTAGATCCTTTGCACTACATTAGGAAACCTGATTTAAAGAAAAAGAGAGGCAGGCCTCCAAAAATGCGGGAAGCTATGGCAGAAATGCCCTTCATGCATAGCCTCAGCTTTCCCCTCTCCAGCACCGGGTTCTACCCCTCCTATGGCATGCCTTACTCCCCGTCCCCCCTGGCAGCTGCTCCCATAGGATTAGGTTATTATGGAAGGTACCCTCCGACTCTTTACCCTCCTCCACCCTCTCCTTCTTTCACCACCCCCCTGCCACCGCCTTCCTACATGCATACAGGCCACTTGCTTCTCAACCCCACCAAATACCACAAGAAGAAGCATAAACTCTTACGCCAGGAAGCTTTCCTCACCACGAGCAGGACCCCCCTGCTGTCCATGAGCACCTACCCCAGCGTCCCCCCCGAGATGGCCTACGGCTGGATGCTGGAGCACAAGCACAGGCACCGCCACAAGCACCGGGAGCACCGTTCCTCGGAGCAGCCGCAGGTTTCCATGGACACTATCGCGGCCAACAGCTCCTCCAGAACGGTCCTGGAGTCCTTGAAGCGCTACAGGTTTGGGAAGGAGGCCGTGGGAGAGAGGTACAAACACAAAGAGAAGCACAGGTGCCACATGTCGTGCCCGCACCTGTCTCCTTCCAAGGGTTTGCTGAGCAGAGACGAGCAGTGGGTCAGGAGGGAGCCTTCGGAGTCGAATTCCCTGGCACTGGGCCTGCAGACCCCGCTGCAGATCGACTGCTCCGAGAGCTCCCCGGCCCTGTCCCTGGGGGGGTTCACCCCCGGCTCGGAGCCCGGCGGCACCGAGGAGCACACGAACCTTTTCACAAGTGCAATAGGCAGCTGCCGAGCGCCCGGCCCCGCCGGCGCCGCCGCCGCGCGCAAGAAGCTGCCCGAGAGCCCCGGGCTGTTCAGCGCCCAGGACGCGCCGCTGCCCCGGCCCCTGCGCAAGGAACCCTCCCTGGAGAAGGCCCTGCAGCCCCTCGCAGGTAAGGGAGCCCCGGGCCTGCTCTCCTGGGTTCTGTTGCAGGTGGAGCTTTGGCTCTGCGGGGATCTGTGGGGGGTTCCTGCTCGCAGCCCCCTGGGGCACCGTGTGTGTGTCCCTCTTCCCAGCAGAGCCCTCTTGCTTCCTTGCACTCGGGCTGAGGATGCTTTCTCATGGAAAGCTCTTTGCTTTTTCCTTAATATTTTGACTTCCTGGAGAAACGAGGTGAAATTTCTCGTAATTTTTTGATACCCTGTTTCCCTTTGGTTTGGAGTTTGGTGGGTTTAGTTTAGACCAGCTGTTGGTGCTACTGTTGTAGCATTTCCATCTGAGAAAATGTTTCCTATTCCTGTTGGTAACTCTGTTTTAGTTACTTTGATAATCTGTTACAGCAGAGTTTTCGAGCTCCTGGAGTTGATACTGGGGATGCCTGAGACCAAACCTTGAAATTTTGGATTTATTCATGTTTGGGAAATGCTTCAAGCAAAAACTGAGGCAGGAGCAACTGAGTGTGTGTGGCCAAGAGCAGCTGCTATCAGAGGGCACCTCCCCTCAAAGCCCTGAACTTTGCATAATATTAGAGGGCGGAAAAATCTAATGTGAAATTTAGGACTTCAAGAAACTATTCCTACTTTCCCTGTTGACCTGAGTGTCACTCAGTGCTGCACTTGCTTAGTACAGATGTTTTTGGGAATAATTTTCACACTTTATCCTAATTACCATGGATGTGTCAGCCAGGCCATGGAACAGATAACCTGGGAAGGACAAGTGTGGCTTGTGCTCCCGCCTGTTTCTGATGTCTGAAGGAAGTCAGAGCTGCTTCTCCCTCCCCTGCTTGCCTGTATTCTCCCTTGAAATTTAAATCACTGTCCACACCCACTTGTGACTGATGTTTCACAGACCAGGAACCAGCTGCCAGCACTGAATAATCCCTCCTCACATTCCTGACTCTCCTCTTGCTCCTTCCCTTGCAACGCTCCCACTTGAATGCCTCCTGCCCACCTACGTGTGGAAGGGGTTTTTCTCTTGGTTTTATTTTGGCTTTTGAGGGGTTTATGTTTTATTTTAAGGGATGCAGCTGGATCTTGGGCAAGTTCATTTTGCTTTGTGCTGTTCCCTGGCACTGAAGCTCCTTGAGGTGGTGGGGGGAGCGTGGAGAAGGCAACAGAGCCATGAGAGGATGGAAGGAGAAATTCCAAGTGCTGAGTCACCAAAAGGGTTAAATTTGGCTCCAAGGAGTGAATTGTTTGTGGGAGCTTGTGCAGTTCTGGGAATTTCCTGAGGATTCCATTGGGGTGAATGGTCTGACTCGGGTTTGTGTGAGGAATGACCCAAGGAAGGGGAGAGCAGAGATGCTTCTTGGTGAAGGCTCTGCCCACTCCCTGTCCCAGGGTGTCTGACATTCCTCAGGTGCCAGGTATCACTTCCAGCCAGTGCATTCCCACCCTGGAGCCCGGCTGGCTTTGCTGTGGGGCTGGTGTCTGGCTCATTCCCAAGGATTTCCCAACGTGCAGGCTTGGAAAACTTAAAACACCTCTGATAAAAAGCCCCAGGAAAGAGAAAGGCCGAGCTTGGGGTGTTTGTTTTCAGCCAAGGTGCTGAGTGGTGATCCTGAATCTGTGACCATGGAAGATAAAAGGAAAGGCACAGATGGAGGAAAAACCCGTGGTGCATCCCAGATTGGTTGTTTATAGAACCAGATGCAGGTGCACCGTGGGGAGATGCTGGATCAGAGCCCTGGAATGGGCAGACAGGGATCACATCAGGGAGCCCTTCCAGAGGTCTGTGGGATCCACAGAGGATATTCATGGTGCTTTATTTCAGAGTATCCCACATGAAAACCTGCCTCATCTCCAGAGCCTTTTGAACATCAGCCTGGCCTGGCTGGATGAGCAGATTGTTTTTATGATGTTGGCTGATGCCAGATATCCTCAGATGGGCCGTGTTAGAG